GGGGCATAGTTTTATAATGTGGATGCTTTGATTTACTGTTGAATCAGAATTTGACACAAAAGGGGACTTACCAAACACCATCAAAACCACGCCTCGCGTCAGATCTGGAAGGTTCTGATTGGATCAGAAAAAGGAAATGTGTCATGTGACTTTAGCATTACGTGTGATCAGTCTAGTGTCTAGTTTAAAGTTATATTACTTATTATAACACTATCAAAGGATTACAATATCAAGTAATTAATATTCTCATTTCAGAGATTGACTGAACATTGAGCTTTGCATGATTATTTGGACAAACAAAGTTAATTGATTATTATTTAAAGAGAAGAGTTATTCGCCTTCTTTCGTCTTTCTTGTGCTGTCTGAGGAAGCAACAGTTTAGATAAGAACACAGAGCATGAGTGGCCTTGGCCCATATCTAGTAGATTAGGCTTGTGTCAGAAACATATGGTTTTGTTTGGGCAGAGCAAATAGAGCAAAGCATTGAGTCCGAGTGGGCCTTGTTCCACTCTGCGATTGTCGAGGCGGCTGTTGCTAGCTGTGGCCGTAAGGTGGCCGGTGCCAGTCGTGGTGGCAACCCCCGTACCCGCTGGTGGACACCAGAGGTTCGGGGAGCCGTCAGGCTGAAGAAGGAGGCCTACAGGGCGTGGCTGGTCTGTGGGTCTCCGGAGGCAGCAGACAGGTACCGGATAGCCAAGCGGGGTGCAGCAGTGGCAGTTGCCGAGGCAAAATCTCGGGCGTGGGAGGAGTTTGGTGAGGCCATGGAGAAAGACTATCGATCGGCTCCAAAGAGGTTCTGGCAAACTGTCCGGCGCCTCAGGAGAGGAAGGCAGCAACTCGCTCACACTGTTTACAGTGGGGATGGGGAGCTGCTGACGTCAACTGAGGCTAAAGTCGGACGGTGGAAGGAATACTTTGAGGAGCTCCTCAATCCCACCAATGCGCATTCCGAGGAGGAACCAGAGCTGGGAGGCCTGGGGATGGACTGTCCGATCTCGGGGGCAGAAGTTGCTGAGGTAGTCAAACAACTACACAGCGGCGGAGCCCCGGGGGCGGATGAGGTTCGTCCTGGGTATCTCAAGGCTATGGATGTTGTAGGGCTGTCATGGTTGACACGTCTCTACAACATTGCGTGGTCATCGGGGGCAGTTCCTAGGGAGTGGCAGACCGGGGTGGTGGTCCCCATCTTTAAGAAGGGTGACCTGAGGGTGTGTTCCAACTATAGGGGGATCACACTCCTCAGCCTCCCTGGAAAGGTCTACTCCAAGGTACTGGAGAGGAGGGTCCGATCGATAGTTGAATCTCAGATAGAGGAGGAGCAATGTGGTTTTCGTCCTGGCCGTGGAACTGTGGACCAGCTCTATACCCTTGCAAGGGTGATGGAGGGGGCATGGGAGTTTGCCCAACCAATCCACATGTGTTTTGTGGATTTGGAGAAGGCTTATGACCGTGTCCCCAGGGGAACCCTGTGGGGGACGCTCCAGGAGTATGGGGTGGGTGGCTTTCTGTTAAGGGCCATTCAGTCCCTTTACCAGAGGAGCGTGAGTTTGGTCCGCATAGCCGGTAGTAAGTCGGACCTGTTCCCGGTGAGGGTTGGACTCCGCCAGGGCTGCCCTTTGTCACCGGTTCTGTTCATCACTTTTATGGACAGAATTTCTAGACGCAGCCGTGGTGTGGAGTGTGTCGAGTTTGGTGGCAGGAGAATCTCGTCTCTGCTTTTTGCGGATGATGTGGTCCTCCTAGCTTCATCCAGCTCTGACCTTCAGCTCTTGCTGGGTAGGTTCGCGGCCGAATGTGAAGCGGCTGGGATGAGGATCAGCACCTCCAAATCTGAGACCATGGTTCTCGACCGGAAAAGGGTGGCTTGCCACCTCCGGGTCGGGGGAGAGGTCCTACCTCAAGTGGAGGAGTTTAAGTATCTCGGGGTCTTGTTCACGAGTGAGGGTAGGAGGGATCGGGAGATCGACAGGCGGATTGGTTCGGCGTCTGCAGTGATGCGGACGCTGAGCCGATCTGTCGTGGGGAAGAGGGAGCTGAGCCAGAAAGCCAGGCTCTCGATTTACCGGTCGATCTACGTCCCAATCCTCACCTATGGTCATGAGCTTTGGGTAATGACCGAAAGAACAAGATCGCGGATACAAGCGGCCGAAATGAGTTTCCTCCGTAGGGTGGCCGGGCTCAGCCTTAGAGATAGGGTGAGGAGCTCGGACATTCGGGAGGGACTCGGAGTAGAACCGCTGCTCCTCCGGATCGAAAGGAGCCAGTTGAGGTGGTTTGGGCATCTGGTCAGGATGCCTCCTGGACGCCTCCCCGGGGAGGTGTTTCGGGCATGTCCTGCCGGCAGAAGGCCCCCGGGTCGACCCAGGACACGTTGGAGAGGTTACATCTCCAATCTGGTCCGGGAACGCCTTGGGGTCCTGCCGGAGGAGCTGGTGGACAAGGCCGGGGAGAGGACGGCCTGGAGCTCCCTAGTTGGGATGCTGCCCCCGCGACCCGGACCCGGATAAGCGGAGGAAGACGAGACGAGAGACAAATAGAGCAAAGCCTTTAAGTCAGAAATGGACAATTCATCACGCTGCATATGGATGGATGGATAGATGGATGGATGGATGGATGGATGGATGGATGGAGGGAGGGAGGGACGGAGGGAGGGACGAGGGAGAGAGGGATAGATTGATGAATAGTGGATGGAAGGACATATAGATAAATGGATGGAGGAATGGATGTATGGGTGGATGAATGAAAGAATGAACGCATGGATCATCAACATGTTGTGCCCAGGGCCAAGACTGCAGCCATCATGTTGCTATGACATCATGTATCAATGACTCCAACAAAAGTGTGGGAAAGTGCATAACGTTGGCTCTTTGTATTATTCTGCACCAAGTCACATACTATGTCAGCTAAAAGCATGTGACTGATAAGGATTTCAGTATTCTATTCTATTCTGCTTCATCCTAAAGTTTGTCCTGAGTCATCATCTTGGATCATACTGGTAGCTCATGGGCACCTTTTTGTGATGATTTTCTGTCCTCCACCCGTTACCTGTATTAATGGCACCTGTTTGAACTCATTATCTGTATAAAAGACACCTGTCCACAGCCTCAAACAGTCAGACTCCAAACTCCACTATGGCCAAGACCAAAGAGCTTTCGAAGGACACCAGGAAAATAATTGTAGACCTGCACCAGACTGGGAAGAGTGAATCTACAATAGGCAAGCAGCTTGGTGTGAAAAAATCAACTGTGGGAGCAATTATCAGAAAATGGAAGACATACAAGACCACTGATAATCTCCCTCGATCTGGGGCTCCACGCAAGATCTCATCCCGTGGGGTCAAAATCATCATGAGAACGGTGAGCAAGAATCCCAGAACCACACGGGGGGACCTGGTGAATGACCTGCAGAGAGCTGGGACCACAGTAACAAAGGTCACCATCAGTAACACACTACAACGGCAGGGAATCAACTCCTGCAGTGCCAGACGTGTTCCGCTGCTGAAGCCAGTGCATGTCCAGGCCCGTCTGAAGTTTGCCAGAGAGCACATGATGATACAGCAGAGGATTGGGAGAATGTCATGTGGTCAGATGAAACCAAAGTAGAACTTTTTGGTATAAACTCAACTCGTCGTGTTTGGAGGAAGAAGAATACTGAGTTGCATCCCAAGAACACCATACCTACTGTGAAGCATGGGGGTGGGAACATCATGCTTTGGGGCTGTTTTTCTGCTAAGGGGACAGGACGACTGATCCGTGTTACGGACAGAATGAATGGGGCCATGTATCGTGAGATTCTGAGCCAAAACCTCCTTCCATCAGTGAGAGCTTTGAAGATGAAACGTGGCTGGGTCTTCCAACATGACAATGATCCCAAACACACCGCCCGGGCAACAAAGGAGTGGCTCCGTAAGAAGCATTTGAAAGTCCTGGAGTGGCCTAGCCAGTCTCCAGACCTTAACCCCACAGAAAATCTGTGGAGGGAGTTGAAAGTCCGTGTTGCTCGGCGACAGCCCCAAAACATCACTGCTCTCGAGAAGATCTGCATGGAGGAATGGGCCAAAATACCAGCTACTGTGTGTGCAAACCTGGTAAAGACCTATAGTAATCGTCTGACCTCTGTTATTGTCAACAAAGGTTATGGTACAAAGTACTGAGTTGAATTTTTGTTATTGACCAAATACTTATTCTCCACCCTGATTTACAAATAAATTCTTTAAAAATCCTGCCATGTGAATTCATGGATGTTTTTTCACATTCTGTCTCTCACAGTTGAAGTGTACCTATGATGAAAATTACTGACCTCTGTCATCATTTTAAGTGGGAGAACTTGCACAATCGGTGGCTGACTAAATACTTTTTTGCCCCACTGTATATATATATATATATATATATATATATATATATATATATATATATATATATATATATATATATATATATATATATAGTCTGGCTTCCCAGGCTAATTTAATGTAGGAAGACAATGATGTTCTTAATATTAAAATAATATTGTTGTATTATAGTACAAAATGTACTTTTAAAATGAAGTTCAAATCAAGTTCAGGATTTTTATTCATATAAAGATGAAGATGAAAATCTGTTTTGAAGATGTCATAATAGATACATTAAAAGGTTATAAATATGGAAATATGCTCCAGGCCATGTGTTTATAATGGTCCAGGAGAGTTGGCAATTGCTGCAATGTGATAGGTTAGCTTCAGCGCTGGGTCTGGGACAAAAAATAATAACATAGGTGGTGCAGGACTGAAACTTATAGAGCTATGATAAATAAGTGCTAAGGTAGCAGACTTTATAAACCAGTAAGAGGGTTATCAAAGCGCGTGCACGCACACCAGCACTCGCACACGCCTCTCTCTCTGCAAGCAAAAGGCAACATGCACCCAGTAACCTACTGACACACAAACACTTCCCAGAGACGCGCGACGTTCACATCAGAGCTGCGGTGTAAAATAGAGCAATATTGACTTTCGGTGACATTCTGCACAATCTGCTGAGGCTGGGCACGGACGAGCATGTTTTGCGCGCACGCGAGTGTGTTGGCATTTTGACACCCAAACGCACAGCGCGCGCGCTGTTCCACTCTGCGTTGCAGAAGTACACACAACGCACGCAGGCGGACCGTTATCATTAAAACCTCATCTACAGTCCCTCTTCTGGTCGCGCGCATTTTATACTACGAATCCTCGCGCCGCCGCCGCCGCCGCTGCTTTCGAGTGACAAGGTGTGGAGAGGGGGGAAAGGATTAAGAGACAATGGCAGCCACCCCGTGCTAAACCTCTTCCTCACGCGCACAGAAACGCTTCTAACGGGTGTCATGGCCAAAACGGACACGGTTTGAACTTTGGATGATCTGCTTTGTGAGGATATCCAGTCGCATCCTGACCGGCGAGACGAGCGGAGATCAGAGTTTGTGCGTCAAGGGAATCATAACCTGGGAGAGATATTCGCAATGGCGCGCGGAGGGAGTCGTTTGGGGCCCTGGCAGGTGCTACTGACCATCTCACTCGTCATCATTCCGTTTTCGGTTCACGGTAAGATCTCTGCTCTAACGGAGAGACCCACCCTGTGCGTGCCTGTGCGGCTATTTGAGCGGGGAGAGCGCGCACGTGAAGAAAATCACACCTGCATCATTGGGGGGTACGGTGCAGGTTCATGAACCCTCCCATTAAAACTTATTACTATTAATAATTTCACTTTTATGTAAATATTAGGAAAATTGTTCTAATTTAAACTTAATCTAATGTGATTTATAACTGGCATAAACGCTGCTGTCTATTGATCATTATTGATTAAACAACTCATTAAAACACAGCTCTGCTTATTTTATCCACATTCAGAGGTAATATAAACATGATTTGTTCTGGTGCTGAATATTAGTCACAAGGGCAGTTTGACAGCTCATCGCTGCAGTTCCCATTCCCAGACAAAGGCGGGATTAGGGGCACCGTGGACAGGCAACATGACGCCCATTGGAAAAAACCTGGAATTCCTCCAGACATCATTAGGAAGCGGAAAACCGCTCCACGCTTCCCTGTTAGAGCACAATCCATCCTTCTGCAGGTGTGCCACCCAAGAAACCGGGAGCGTCTTCCATAAATGCCCAGCAACAGCGTGGCTCGTGCGTCCGCGGGGTCGCTGGGGTTCATGCAGCCCCCCTTGTCGCATCCGTCGGCCTGGATGAGTTGCCAGGCGTTAACACGATGACATATTGACCAGCAAATCGGTCCACGCGTCTGACGGCCTCCTTCTGAGAGCACGTGGCAGGAGGCATCTGCTTAATTAGGAGCACGAGGGCAAATGAAGTCATTCCATTAATCTTTATATCAGATAAAACCATTTAAATTTTTATTCTTCTTTTTATTTGATGTCGAAAAAAATCTTTTCACATTTCAGGCTAAACTTCATTATGTTAAGAGGTTTTTGTACTAATTATATTTTATTATTCATTATAATTTCCAGCCTGGCACACAAGGCAAATTTTTTACTTTATATTTCCACAAAGAAGAACCCAGTCATCAAAGCTGGACTTAAAGAGACAATGTGTATTTTTACCTGTAATCTCTGGAAATATCCATTGAAATGTTGAAAATTTTAAAAATGATGTCCAATTGTTGAAAAATATTGTTGCTTCATAACATAAAGATCAAGTCTAAAGCATATAGGGCGTGGGTCTAGCGTCTAAAGGAAGACCCAATAAAAGAAATATTATTATTATTATTCAAGAAAAGTTTTAAAAAGATATCCTCTAAGTTCTTCATGTAAGTGATTCCCACTCTTTTTTACATCACAGACAAGGTTTACTTTTTTCATTATTAGTAGGTTTTCAAAATAAAATACCATTCAGACCAAAAAAATTCTCCTTTTATAAAAATGCATGTAGACTTGTCTTGCTTAGTTCTTTTAAAACACAGAAAAGGGTTGTTCTTTATGTTGTTTTGTTAGCGTTTCAGATCATTACTATAGCCATCCTCAGAGCCGTGCCGATGATGGTGGAGTCAACAGGAACTATAGTAATTAGCTGAAACATTGGCGAGTTTTAACAGAACCCAGCAAGGCGCGTTGACAAAATACACAGAATGAACGTACAGAAGATGATTCAAGGTATTTAGACTATTTTTTCTAAAAGGTTGTTGTTTCTGTGTGCTCTGGTATTGTCACGATCTGGGGAAACCCAGGATGACACGAGGCTGGGGAAGATGTAAAGTAAAATCCTTTATTTTAGGAGTAACCAAAAAACAAAAGTAATCCAAAAGGCTGGGAGCCAACAGTCCAAAGATCCAGACAGAGATCTGGAGATCCAAGAATACAAGAGGCACGAGAAGAATTTGACAGAATTACAACAAACAACAATGGACCGACCAGACACAGAGACAAGACAGGGCTTAAATACACAATGGGGCATGATGGGAGGCAGATGAGCTGCAGGTGTGTGGAGTGTGGGGGGAGGACCAGGTGAAAGCAATACTTAATCAGGGAAGAAACTAACATGACCTAAGAGTGAACCTAAAAACAGAAAAGCAACCATATAACTAAAATTCTAAAGGGAAGGAGAACTACAAAAACTGGTGGGACAAAACATATTAAAGAGACTAAATAAAATGAAAAGCTGAAACTATAAACACTGCAGAGGGGTGACTGGAGAAGACTGAAGGAACACAGGAGACACATAAATGAGATGCAGACAAAGGACACATGAGGGCGCTATGAAAATCAAAAGGAGAACCTGGAGTGGGAACTGGAGGGGCTGGGGAACAAAGGGACACAGAACATGACAGGTATTAAATGATATCCAGACCAGTCTTTGTTCTGGTGGTTGGGAACTTCTTAAAAAGTAAATCACGTGATTTTCTCTGACTTAATTGGTTAACAAGTCCACCAACACACTGAGCTGCTGTAGGCGACAACATAGACACATTGTGGATTAAAGCCAGACAGTGTGTGTGTGTGTGTGTGTGTGTGTGTGTGTGTGTGTGTGTGTGTGTGTGTGTGTGTGTGTGTGTGTGTGTGTGTTCACTGTCTGAGTGAGCACACACTGTGAGGTCCATCTGCCCGGCAGCCTCACAAAGCTCATGATGTGCCAGCACAGATCAGATCACCAACTCCGCTCACACCACATCACACTGGGAGGAAGCGCTATTTATGATCTAAAAATCAACAAGTCAGAAGGCTGAGTCCAGATGTTGGAAACCACTGGCTGATGAGCTCAGGGGAAGAACTTTAAAGTATGCTGGCAACACAAACAACTTCACTACAGAAACAGAAGATTCAGCAGCTGAGGTGGATTTGAACATCGTTCTGTGTTCTTCTGGCGAAGCTGCTGGGAGTCTGCCCCCTAACCAATCACAGTGACCTCAGGTAGAACTTGTTGCCATGGTTACGTGCTCAGCACAAATTGTACAGATCATAGCCTTTCTCAGTCGGATGTCACACAGCTGAGCAGAGGCACGTGCGTTCGGTTTGATCAGCTTGTAATCTCTTCGTGTTCCCGCTTTTGCACTTGTAATCACCACAAAGGCCACCCACTGCTAACGGGAAGAAGCATTCCAGTCCCATCAGAACAAACCGGCAGACTCAGCCTGTGAAGGAAACTGAAGTCGATTCAGATTATGTCACTTTTACAAAACGGAGATCTTCAGGGTTCATTTCAGCTTGTTTTTTCCCAGGGGTGGACCTGGCATCGACTGGCTACGCGGTTGACTGAAAAGCAAGAGAGAAGGAGCAGAAACATTGGATTCTCTGTTTGCACTGCGGTTCCCTCACTCAGTTCCTCCTTTCATCATGGCACCTCTTTACATCTCACCATGGCAACTGCTCTCCCTCTCTCTCTTTCTCTGGTGAATCGCATGGCTCCTCGGCCACCATTGGTCTTCATGACTCCAAGCACGTTCAGACGGTTTTTGCACAAGCTCTAAATGAAGAGCCAGATCCTGAAGGCCTGGCAGCAGGAGAGATGTCATCCGGCCAAGTATGCGGATGAGTTTGGCCGTTTCTGCAAAGGAAAAGAAGTGGCTTCTAATTCTCATTCAGCTAATTATAATATATGGAAAAAATATTCTCAGGCCTGTTAAACATCAACGTCTGTCTTTGTTTAATACAACAGAGCAAAGCCAGATGTTACCACTGCCTCATTCAGGGTGCTATTCTATGAGTTTTAGCAAATCTGTGGAAAAAGATGACAAAAAATATGGAAATGACTTTTTTAGTGTTCAATATGTTTCTGTAAATCAGCATTTATGTCAAATGTTCTCAGTGATACAGTCGCGTCTGAGCAAGAGCGCAAATGAGGACTAATCCTCCCCAGCAATCATACGTAGGTTGGCCCCATGTGGAATGCATATCCGTAAGGGTTCTGTGGTTTTCCATGGTTTCCCTACTGGGACATGCCCACAATAATTTTAAAAGAACACTAAATAAATTCACACTTCTGCCTCCTATTGTTCGAAAGTGGAATTACAACTAATGTTAACAACCCTGTCGCAGCCGGCCGTAGCTAACGCTAATAACAAGCTAACACGAGCCAACTGATAGTAAATATTCCACTGGGCAAAAAGCTCCACACTGTTGGGCAACACAAATATTACCTACAAGTCCAGTAACAACAAATCTAGGGTCATCATCAGTTCATGATTTTGTAGCCTCCTTCAAACTAGCGTAAACCACACCAATGTTTGCTGGTTTTTTGCGTCACCTCCAAAGACATTAATCTCTTACTTTTACATTTTTGTTGGCCATGATGCCAAAAAAACTTTCCACCATGAAAGACCATGGACAAACCCTGCGGTACCGTTATGGTTTGCCCGTGTGTGTTCCATTTGGGGTGCACGTATGTATTTTGGTTGGGTCCATGTTGACCAGTCTTACTTTTAGTTGTTTTTCCTTACCAGAGTGCAACCATTTGGAAAAATTTCAAAATAACATCGCCGTGTTTTTCCTTCTTTTAATATTTGCATGCTACTGGTTCAGGGTTGTATACGATTGTTATAAACTCACACAAACAAGGGTTTTTGTGTCTTTTAGCTTTTGGATCGATGTGTTTTTTCCAGAGATTTTAAAGTGCATTCCATGTTGCTAGCAGCTAACATGTAAATCTAAATCCTAATCTACGTAATCTAATCCCCAGCCAGTCTCAGTCAACACGACATATTGGCCAGTCACTCCTCAAACTTAATCCAATTTGACCACATTCTGGTGGCACATTCAGGACTCTAACTGAACAAAAATGTGTTTGTTTTTCACAACCATGCCAACAGCAAGAAAACTCTGGGCTTTTTGTTCAATTTGAATAAATTATGATTCACTTTTGAGTTTGAGTTCCCGACCAAGAGTTGGTCTTTGTTAGGACCACAACAACCCAGCTGGTCTTAACCGTTTTGTGTTTGGTTGCAGGGAGACATTCGCTGTCCAAACACCATCATCACCACAACCACTCATCTGTCCACAAAGAGGCCTTGGACACCAGGATGGTTCTCAGTGATGACTCAGCAGAAAGAGAGCATCTGATTGGAGCAGGGGTTGGCAACATTCATCACACCTTTACCAGACGTCATCACTCTCATAAACGCCACCACCTTGATTTTGTGGAGGAAGACCAACCCGCGGTGGAGGAGCTGACAGCTGGAGGGGCGGGGCCAGACAATCCTGGAAACCCTTTATCCGACGATGTCATCACAGTGGCATTTCATAGCCCCGCCCCTGATGTTGTGCCCTCAGATGGGGCTTTGGATTGGGCAAAAGCCCCCAAACCCCAAAAGCAGAGAGGTGGAGCCTCCACCACGTGGACGCAGGATGACTTTTATGACTACCTGTCTCCTGACAACGACGTCTCAGCGGTAGATACAACCCCAGAACCTGAGCCCACCCCCTCACCTCCAGCTGACATGGACGACGAGAATCCTCTCCTGGCCAGTTCTCCTCAAGGTCCTGACACAGTGGAGCCAAAGATGAACAGCGGGTCATCTTTACCGGCGCCTCCGATGGCAAGACCAGAGGAAGATGAATCTGGAATAGGTGGTGCTGTAGGTGCGGATGGCTGCAGGCTGGGCTTTGTGCTGTCTCAGTCTGGGGTTTGTGTTTCCCAGTGTGATGCTGAACCCAACTTCTGCTTCAACGGAGGGAAGTGCACCGTGGTGACTGGGATTGGAGCCTTCTGCAGGTGGGACTCATACTAACTGGGTTGTTAATTATCGTCCACTCATGAATACTAAATTTAAATATGTATGTCTGTTTGTGTTTGCATGACAGTGTTAGCCAAACATCTCATAAACCAATCAACATCTTCTCAGTGTCCTAGTGGTAGAGTGTCCGCCCTGAGACTGGGAGATCGGGGGTTCGATTCCTGGTCGGGTCATACCAAAGACTTTGAAAAAATGGGACCCAATGCCTCCCTGCTTGACACTCAGCATTAAGGGGTTGGATTGGGGGGTTAAACCACCGAATAGTTCCCGAGCGCGGCTGTGTCTGCAGCTCACCGCTCCCCCAGGGGATGGGTCAAATGCAGAGAACAAATTTCACACATGCACTGTGTGTGTGACAACTAATGGGACTTTAACTTTAACTTTTAACTTTAACAAATTTCAATCTAACTCTTAACTGACTTTTGACAACCCCTACCCCATTCAAGATGGCTGCCACAGATCATTGATCTTAGCCATTACAAAAAAAATTACTCAGTCAGTTATACTGATATCAAGCTATGTAACAATATCAGTGTAGATTGTTTTTAATGTATTTGTCCCCAACACAAAGGGGATATTTAGGGCGCCACAGGCAAGCAAACACAGTGATCAGAGACAGAAGGTTGGGTTGATGTGTCATGTGGGCTCGTCAAGATCACAGCAGGGTTTTTAGAGGATTAGCTCAGCTTTGTGAGGCAGGAGGTAACGAAAGCATGTGGCAGCTGCCTGCTGATAGCCACACAGTAGACACATAAAAAAGCATGAGAAATTATGACAATACAGGTGGATTATTGATAAAAAATGGAGCTAACACATGAACATGCACGCAAAACTCAAACACATGAACGAGACTGGATGCCTCGCTCTGTCCAATCCTGCTGTCATGTTTGAGGGTAATTTCTTGACCCACGACATGAAGAATCACCACCGAGAGACAGAAGGTAAGTTTAAATGATTTATTTTGATTGGGAGAGGTAGCCGAAGCTTCTGCAGGACTGGAGGGATCCGTGGGGTCTGAGAGAGGAAGAGAGGTCAGAGTCTGGAGCAACGTGAGACGATGATGAAAAAATAAGGCTTACTGTTTCCTGAATGATCCGGTATTTTGTGTGTGGGGGGGGGGGGGGGGGGGGGTTAGTCAGACCTGGCTGGATGGGGAGACCGAGGAGCTGCAGGTGGATAGGTGGGGTGATGGAGAGCTGGCGATTAGGGGCAAACAGCAGGACTGGAATGTGGTAGATGGTTCCAAAGATATAGCAGAGAGTGGAGATGAACAGATGACTGGAACCTGGAGGAATCAGGAGGGCAGAGCAGGTTAACTGCCAGAAGGGCAGGAACAAATAGACAAAGTAATTCTAAAATTGTTTTAGGAAGGTCAAAAGGAGAGCTAGAAACTACCCAAGACTGAGTATCATCTGGCAATGGTGAGATGTCCAGCTGCTCCTTAAATCCCCTGATCGCTGATGAGCTGATTTGGCACAGCTGGGCTCTCCAGACACACCCACCTGTAAAACACTCAGCAGAGATGGTTATGCAGCACAGATCATGACAGTACCCCCCCCCTCAAAGGCCGACACCCGGCGGCCGCGCAGAGGAGGAGGAGGCGGAGGAGGAGGCAGCAGCAGAAGACCGAGCGGCGTCAAAGTCTCTGATGAGAGAAGGGTCCTCAATCCAGGAACTGGGGACCCACTGGCGATGTTCTGGACCATAACCCTCCCAGTCCACCAAGAACTGACGCCCCCGGCCCCTGGGCCTGACGTCCAGCAGGCGCCGAACACGAAAGCCAAGTCCACCATCAGTGAGACGAATAGGAGAAGGGGGAGCAGGAACAGGACACAACGGACTGGACGAGACAGGTTTCAGGAGGGATACATGAAAGACAGGGTGGATCTTCATAGACGGGGGCAGGACAAGACGGACAGAACAGGGACTGAGTACCTCCTGAATGGGATATGGGCCAATGAAGCGAGGTGAAAGTTTCCTAGTTGTACCCTTGAGACCAATATCTTTGGTTGACAGCCAGACCTGTTGACCTGGACTGTACACGGGCGCGGGTCTGCGGTGCCGATCTGCCAGCCGTTGGTTGCGCTCTTTGGTGCGCTGAAGGGCCGTCCGGCTTTGGATCCATGTCCTCCTTGCCCGGCGGATAAACTGAGGGACTGTGACAGAGGAGGATAGATCCAAAGGGAACAGGGGAGGTTGGTAACCAAGGGATGATTCAAACGGGGACCTACTGGTTGCAGTGGAAACGTGGGAGTTGTGCGCGTACTCGATCCATGGTAGTTGGGTGCTCCAGCTGGTAGGGTTTGAAGAGCAGACACATCTGAGCATAGCCTCCAACTCCTGATTGAGCCGCTCGCACTGACCGTTAGTTTGGGGGTGGTAACCAGAACTCAGGGAAACACGGGCCCCCAATATGGTGGCAAACTCCTTCCAGACCCTGGAGAGGAATTGGGGGCCGCGATCTGACAAGATCTCCGATGGGATGCCATGAAGCCTGAAAACATGGGTTATGAGGAGGTTAGCGGTTTCAGTGGATGATGGAAGGGATTTCACTGGAACAAAATGACAGGCTTTTGAAAATCGATCGATTATAGTGAGAATTGCAGAAAAACCTTTGGAGAGGGGTAGGCCAGTAACGAAGTCCACTGCTATATGCGACCATGGGCGAGATGGAATGGGGAGAGGATTTAACAGTCCTGCCGGGGGTTGATTGGTGGTTTTATTCCGGGCACAGACATGGCAGGCGTTGATGTACTCTTTAGTGTCATTAAACATGGAGGGCCACCAGAATGACCTGCGGATCAGGGCGAGAGTGCGACCAATTCCAGGGTGAACGGAAAACTTGGCAGTATGTGCCCAGTGGATCACTGCTCCTCGAACCTGTTGAGGCACAAAGAGTTTTTTGGGGGGACCATTACCTGGGTCAGGATCAGTGCGTTGGGCGTCCAGAACTTTGTTGGTGATGTCCCAGGAAACAGCTCCTACAACACAAGATGGAGGAAGGATAGTGGCGGGTTCGAGGTCTCTGTCTGAAGCGTACTGGCGGGATAGAGCATCTGGTTTGACATTCTTTGATCCGGGGGTGTAGGAAATGATGAAATTGAAGTGTGTGAAGAACAAGGACCACCGGGACTGTCTGGGGTTTAACCTCTTGGCCTCTTTCAGGTAAGCAAGGTTTTTATGGTCTGTCCAGATAATGATGGGATGCTCGGAACCTTCAAGCCAATGGCGCCACTCTTCCAGAGCCAATTTGATGGCTAGCAGCTCTCGGTCTCCCACATCATAGTTTTGCTCCGCCTGAGAGAGTTTCTTTGAAAAGAAAGCACAGGGATGTAATAGATTATCTGAAGGTGACATTTGAGATAGGACAGCACCAACGCCAGAATCTGAGGCGTCGACTTCCATGGTGAACTGAACAGACGGATCAGGGCGAACCAAAACAGGAGCTTGAGTGAAACGTCTCTTTAACTCCTGAAAAGCCTCTTCAGCGTTAGCTGACCACACAAAGGCTCTTTTAACAGAAGTCAACTGCGTCAAGGGAGATGCCACCTGGCTGTAGCCACGAATAAAGCGCCGATAAAAATTTGCAAACCCGAGGAAACGTTGAAGCTGTTTACGGGTAGTGGGAGTTGGCCAGTCACGGACAGCTTCAACCTTTTCTGGGTCTGTTCTCAGCTTTCCCTTCTCCAGAACAAATCCCAGAAATTTCACTGAGGAAACGTGGAATTCGCATTTTTCAGCCTTGACGAAAAGGCGGTTCTCCAGAAGGCGTTGTAGAACAGCGCGGACATGTTGATGGTGTTCGGAAAGGGTACTGGAAAAAATCAGAATGTCATCGAGGTATACAGTGTCAAATGAATTGATATAGTCAGAGAGTACGGAGTTTACCAGGGACTGGAACACTGCGGGAGCATTAGTCAGGCCAAAAGGCATGACGAGGTACTCGTAGTGGCCCAAAGGTGTCTTGAAGGCCGTTTTCCACTCGTCACCCTCCTTGATCCTTACAAGATGATAAGCGTTGCGGAGATCCAATTTGGTGAAGATGGTTGCATTCTGTACAGGGTCAAAGGTGGAGGAAAGCAGAGGCAGAGGATATTTGTTCTTGACTGTTATTTGATTTAACCCTCGATAGTCGATACAAGGACGCAGGGAACCATCTTTCTTTGAAACAAAGAAGAACCCTGCGCCCAAGGGAGAAGTGGATGGACGAATCAGACCTGATGCTAAGGACTCAGAGATGTATGTGGTCATGCATTCATGTTCCGCTTTAGAAAGACTGTACAACCTGCTGGATGGGAATGTGGCATCAGGAAGCAGGTCGATACTGCAATCATATGGACGATGGGGAGGTAAGGATGCAGCTCGATCTTTGCTGAAAACTGCTTGTAGGTCATGATATTCTGATGGCACTGAAGAAAGGTCCGGAATGGGTGGAGGACTGGAAGCAGGAACCTGGACCGGAAGGCTAGCGGACAACAAACAGTGGGACAAGCAGTAAGGACTCCAGGCAGCAACTTCACCAGTCTTCCAATCGATGTGGGGGTTGTGCATGCTAAGCCATTCATGTCCTAAGACGACTGGAAACTGAGGAGAGGGAAAAACAAAAAATGAAATGACTTCTTGGTGGTTACCAGACACTTGCAACTTGACAGGCTCTGTTCGGTGGGTGATGGTAGTGAGCGCGTTGCCATCCAATGATGAAACCTGAACTGGAGTGAGAAGAGGTGTCGTTGGAATTCTCAGTTTAGTGACCACAGACTGATCTAGAAGATTCCTCTCACAACCAGAGTCAAGCAGGGCTGTAGTTAAAAAAGGCAGCTGATTAAAAAAAACAGAGCAGGTCAATACACACCGGGAGGCTTCTTTGTTAGTGCTGCTACCCACCAGAACTCCCGGACTTACTGGTGGGCTCTCCCTTTTGGGCGAATTGGACAGTTAGGTAGAAAGTGACCAGACAAACCACAGTACAGACACAGTTGGGAGGAGATGCGACGTTGTCTCTCTTCTGGGGTCAGACTAGCCCGGCCTATCTGCATGGGAACCTCTGGAGGAATTGAGGCAGAAGCAAAAGCAGACGGCAGAGCTGGAGGAATAGTGGAACGAGCGGTCTGATGGGTATGATAACTGGGCAAAGCAGACCTGGGACGGGTCTTGAGTCTTTTCTCAATGCGAATAGCTAGAGTGATAAGATCCTCCAGAGTGCCAGGTTCAGGACACAGGGCTAGTTGGTCCTGGATTTTGTCGTGGAGGGCTTGAGTAAAAGCTCCTTTTAATGACTCCTCATCCATAATAGAAGTGATAGCTAATGTTCTGAATTCAACTGCAAAGTCTGAAACAGTTTGCTTCTCTTGCTTCAGATTCCAAATGGCCCGGGCTATTTCTGAGGGTGTCTCTGATTTACCAAAAGTTCTATTAAAATCTACGAGGAAGTTGTCTAAGGAACCTCTAAGGAAACTAGGTTCCCGACTTTTTGCCTCAGCCCACTGTAAGGCACGACCTCGGAGCAGACCGACAATGTAAGACATTTTTGCGGGATCACTAATAAATGCTTCTGGGGTTCTTTCAAACGCTAACATGCATTGGAGAAGAAAACAACGTATTTTGCCGGACTCACCGGAGAAGGTATCGGGAGGAGGCGAGTCTGCAACCCGGAAGTGCCAATGTGTAGACTGACCAGGCTGAACCGGAGGTAGTTGAGGTGGAGGTGGAGAAACTGAAGCAGCCGGAACAGATAGCTTTTCATTTAGTTCCCTTAATCTGGAGTCTAACTGGAACAAATGTTGGTTAGTGTTGGCTTGATGTTCGAGGAGAGTCTGTATGGATTGTTCATGTTGGGCGAAAGCTGTGGATATAACAGATGGTAGTGATTCGACAGCGGGGTCAGGAGTTTGGCCAGATGATTCTGTCATGTTTGAGGGTAATTTCTTGACCCACGACATGAAGAATCACCACCGAGAGACAGAAGGTAAGTGTAAATGATTTATTTTGATTGGGAGAGGTAGCCGAAGCTTCTGCAGGACTGGAGGGATCCGTGGGGTCTGAGAGAGGAAGAGAGGTCAGAGTCTGGAGCAACGTGAGACGATGATGAAAAAATAAGGCTTACTGTTTCCTGAATGATCCGGTATTTTGTGGGGGGGGGGGGGGTTAGTCAGACCTGGCTGGATGGGGAGACCGAGGAGCTGCAGGTGGATAGGTGGGGTGATGGAGAGCTGGCGATCAGGGGCAAACTGCAGGACTGGAATGTGGTAGATGGTTCCAAAGATATAGCAGAGAGTGGAGATGAACAGATGACTGGAACCTGGAGGAATCAGGAGGGCAGAGCAGGTTAACTGCCAGAAGGGCAGGAACAAATAGACAAAGTAATTCTAAAATTGTTTTAGGAAGGTCAAAAGGAGAGCTAGAAACTACCCAAGACTGAGTATCATCTGGCAATGGTGAGATGTCCAGCTGCTCCTTAAATCCCCTGATCGCTGATGAGCTGATTTGGCACAGCTGGGCTCTCCAGACACACCCACCTGTAAAACACTCAGCAGAGATGGTTATGCAGCACAGATCATGACACCTGCAGCTTGGAGGCAAACTGTTGCTTGTGTCATGTCTGCCGAGTAACGCACATGCGCTAATTCGACTTCACAAAGCATCCGCATACCTGTAGCAATTAGCACAGAAAGAGCAGGTATGTAATACTGTTAAAAGACTAAAGAGAAACATTGCTGGACTCCATGCATACATGGACCTCCAAATACTTGTGTCTTGTGTTTTATGCATTAGATCAAGAGAATAATCATTGCAAAGCTGAAAGTGACCCACTTGTCCTGTATTTTCCTGCTCTCCTCCTGTTCTGTTTGCATCCAGGTGTAATGTGCAGGACTACATCTGGAACAAAGGCCAGCGCTGCGAATGGTCCGTCACTGTGTTTGAGGTGCTGTGTTTGGTTACGGTCGTGGCCTCCTTTGTGGTCCTCCTGCAGTTCATGATCGTGGTGTTCTTTGCCAAGAGCCTGTACCGCCTCAAGAGCGAGAACAAACGCCTTCGTAAATGCAGGTGCGTGAACAAAAACCCTTCAGTTCTGAGTGCTTCAAGCAAATGTAAAACCACTCAAATGTTAAATCAGTTAAATGCATTAGCAGTATGTAGTATGTATGATTTGAGTTTGCTGTGATTCATGAGGAAAACAGACACATCACTGCAAATATTTATGTCACACAAGCCCCCGTCTCTGCATCTCTGCAGTAAGTACCACCCACAGAGCAGCGAGCCACAGACGGACGGGCTATCTGTATCGACAACAGCTGACGGCTCGCAGCCAAACGTAAGGAAACTGTGTGACACTCCTCCGCCCGCTCCTCAAACCCATACTCACAACCTGGCGTACTATGACAACATTATCTGTCAGGTATGCCCCTGCCTTCCTTGTGTTGACACTTCTTCAATTTCTATGTTTTTTTTTGTTGGTTTTGTTTCTTCTGTTTGACCCCCCCCCCCCCCCCCCCCCCCCCCCATTTTTCTCTCTTCCTCGTTACGTTCTCTCCTATGTCAACCCCCCAGCATGAAGAGTGAATACCCAGTCGTCATGTCTGTGCTGAGATAATCACCAACCTGCAGACACACCCATCTATTCTCTGATTTTTAACCTCTGTTGAATTTGTAATTCATGCTCAAACATCGTTAGCAATACCCGGGATGGGGGGGTGGGGGGGGGGGGGGGGGTGTAAAAACATTAAAATCACCTACAGCTCAGCTCAGCTCAGCTCAGTAGATTTTCAACATTTTCTAAATGTAATAGAACCGATTCCTCACAGTACCTCTTTAGATCAAACATGAGTTTAGTATAAGCAAACATGGTGGAAGTGGAGCATCTAAGGTTATTCCATCGCCTCACTTTCTGATTGACTACATGTAACATTCAACATGCTGCATGGTGGCGCAGTGGTTAGCACTGTTGCCTCGCAGCACGAAGGTCGCAGGTTCAAAACTCGCCTTTCTGCGTGGAGTTGCGTGTTCTCCCCATGCCTGCGTGGGTTTCCTCCGGGTACTCCGGTTTCCCCCACACATCACAACATGCCCTACAGGTTAAAAAAAAAATGTGTACGTCGCTTTGGATAAAAGCGTCTGCGAAATGAATAAACATAAACAGGGAGCATGCCCCGTTAGTCGTGCAACATGGGACCAAGACAATCCAACACATTTAAAATACCCAGATTAGTCCTGACGTCCAGAGCTTTCCTAACACACCACGCATCGTAGGAATTATTGCATTGCTGTTATCCAATCCAATGGTGAGGTGTCCGCATATCAAGAATATAACGTTGCTGTGATATGGGCAACTTTTACGTTTGAGAAATGGTGCATCAGTATATTTTTTCCCCCTGAGAACAACTTACAAGGCATTCATTCCCACTAGATACCGCAGCAAATGTTTTGATTAAACGAGTAAGCTACTCTTTTAAAGGTCTCGTTCACTTGTTTATTTAATGAATTTGCTGTAGTCTCCAGCATAAATGAATCATTTACTGTGGAAAAAAGCTCCGGTGCTCCTGTTTCAGGAAGTGGAAGTTAGTCGGAAAAATGGGAGGTGGAAAAAAAAAACAGGATTAGGAGTCTTTCTCAAAAATGCTCTCAATATGCGAACATCTTGTCTGATTGGTTAACAGCATTGCAACTCTTTTGCTGCCTCCATTCACTCCTCTTTCTCGGGTATAAAATGTAATACTGATGTTTTATTTCCTCAAATAACACAAGCCTGGACGTGTTGCTAATGTTAACCGTCGGCTTCTACCAGCCGAGACGTGGTCTGTGCTCTCCTGGCCGCTAAATCATAACACCTTTCTGCGTTCAGAAGCCAAGGTGGGCAGAGCCATGAAAACTGATTTCATTTTTAAGACCCGATCATGTCCCCATCTATTTTCTTTCTGGAGCTAATGCAGCGATAGGGGTTGAAGAAAAGTTCCACGTTCAGCGTGCATTTGCAATTCAGAGTGATTGATTTCCAAAACGAACGACTGTTACACGGTTTCTCAGTCAACGAGACCTTAAAGGTTGTTGAGAGGGGAGAATCGGGCCTCAGTGAAAATGCTTGATACCAAATATTTACCTTCAGTTTGTAGAAAGAATCTCACTAACATCTCTTTCCTATAGCTGACCAACCTACTCCAGGTGAAATGACTGGAGACCTCTCTTAAGGCTTCCTGCAGCATTTTCCAGATGTGCTGTGTCATCAGGGCAGAGATAAAATTCTGGCCTTCCTTAACCTTCTACCTGCATCTCTGCAGCTTCCTCCATTTTCCCCCTGAGTTCATGTGTCACCCAGCAGCCATTTTAGCCTCTGCAGCTTTTTTCCTGTGGATTCTGCATCTCAGGCTGCTGTAATTTCAACTGTACCAACATGGAAGGGAGAACAAATGGCACATCATTAATTACTGTCAGCATGGAGTGGGGTGGGGTTTATGGCAGACTCATGAGCACCAGTGATGGAATGCACCAGTTAAACTGGCCTTCTGAGTAAAAAATAAATTAAAAACTACATAAGTTTACTCAACTGTAGCACACTGAAAGTCTACACAGCAAATTGTGTCCAGCTGCATCCAGTGGGAGCAATCGATGGTGCCCTAATTCTGACCCGTTGTGCCCATGACCTTCAGATATTTGTCACACACCGATAATCTAATGACCCGACCATTTAGAAACTGACAAATAAACATGCAAGCCAGGGACGAAATTTTGATTTCAGAAGTGGGGGGGACACAGCAGGCTTGTGCGGATTTGGGGTGGGGGGTGTTATGTAAAGACCCCTTGACACGTCACGTGCCCATCTCAATAATTTTTCCATCCTCTCTCTCTCTCTCTCTCTCTCACTCTCTCTCTCTCTCTCTCTCTCTCTCTCTCTCTCTCTCTCTCTCTCTCTCTCTCTCTCTATATATATATATATATATATATATATATATATATCAAAGTTAAAAAATGTACAACTCTATTATTATTTTTATTTATTATCAAAGAAAAATTATAAAAGAAAGCTGTGGATGACAGAAGGTCTGTTAAAGGCATGTAAAAAGAAAATGGTATTATATGAAAAATTCATCAAACATAGGACAAGTGAAAATGAAGACAATTACAAAAAATATAAGAATAAATTAACTACAGCTATTAGGATCAGAAAGAAGCAATATTATGATGAAATTTTAGATAAAAACAGAAACGATACTCGTAGGACGTGGAAAATATTAAATAATATAATTCAAAAAAGGATGACAACTTTGGAATGGCCAAACTACTTTCTAAATAGTTCAAATCATAAAGTAAATGATCTAATAAATATAGTGGAAGAATTTAACAAATTTTTTGTAAGCGTCGGGCCCTCATTAGCAAATGAGATAGCAGTCCCACCTGATGCAGATACATTTAATAATCTGATAAATAGTAATATCAACTCAATGTTTCTACATGAGATAAGTGAGACTGACGTTGTGAATACAGTAAGAAAATTTAAAAACAAAAAATCCACAGATATAAATGAAATTGATATGGGAATTATAAAAGAAGTTATATTCTCTATTGTGAGACCATTGACATATATATATAACCTATCACTACAAAAAGGTCATTTTCCTAAAACTATGAAGATAACAAAAGTGATCCCAACATTTAAAACTGGAAATAAGCATTCTATGGAAAACTATAGGCCAATAGCAATTATTCCACAATTTTCAAAAATACTCGAGAAATTATTTGTGAACCAGCTAGACGTATATATTACTAAAAATAAATTATTAAGTGACAGTCAATATGGATTTAGAAAAAACAGAACCACTACCTATGTGATAATGCAGATGGTAGAAGAAATAGCCCAAGCAAGTGAAAGCGAAGAACTCTCTATTAGCATATTTGTTGATTTAAAGAAGGCTTTTGACACCATTGACCACAGGAGATTATTGAAAAAGATGGAAAATTATGGCCTACGAGGAATAGCGAAGTCCTGGATAGAGAGTTACTTACAAGACAGACAACAGTATGTACAAATTAAAGATATAAAATCTGGATTTAGAGAAATAAGTTGTGGAGTTCCACAAGGTTCAGTAATAGGTCCTATATTATTTACTTTATATATAAATGACATATGTAACGTGGCAGATTTTTTCAAATTTATAATGTTTGCAGATGATACAAATTTAGTTTGTTCAGGTAAAGATATAAAAGAACTTTTAAAGAAGGCCGAAAAAGAGTTAAATATCCTCAAATCTTGGTTTGATGTAAATAAACTATCACTGAATATAAAAAAGACTAAATTTATGATTTTTGGAAATAAGAAGGTAAAAAATGGGGACTTTAAATTAACAATTTCAGATACTGAAAGTGAAAGAGTGTCTGAAATAAAATTTCTTGGTGTTGTGATTGACTCTAACTTATCCTGGAAGCATCATTAAAATTACATAAAAGGAAAAATTGCCAAATCTTTGGGTCTATTATATAAGCTGAAGGACATACTAAACCATAAGGCCTTACGTCTAATATACTGTTCACTAATACAACCATACATGGCATATTGTATAGAAATATGGGGTTCAACTTTTAAAACGTATATACATGAAATAAAATCTATACAAAAGAAATCTATTCGAGTTATGAACAAGAGCAATTATTATGCTCATACTGACCCGTTGTTTTTAAAATCACAGATTATGAAATTAGAAGATCTATATTGTTATAAAATAATGCAATTTATGTTTAGAGTAAAATTAACAGCTCTGCCAAAAAATATACTAATGTTCTTTGTAAAGAGGGAAAGTAAATATGATTTAAGAGGTGTATGTATGTTTGTTCTACAAAAAGCCAAAAAGGGCATGAAAAGGAGATGTATCTCTAATGGGAGTAAAATTTTGGAATGAGGCTAAAATAGAATTAAAATTAGCAACTTCTCTTTCAGTTCTTAAAAAACTTATCAGTAAAAATATTTTTGAAGAGTATTAATTTGATGTTGATGGATGGATTTGTGTTTTACTTTTATTTGGGTTGTTGGTTCATTGCGGGAAATTAAAAAAATGTTTTGTAAGTAGGTTAGGCAATTATATAAGCTATTGCTTCTGCCTAAACCTATTCAGTCATGATATACCAAATAGACACCATATAAAAAACAAGGCATATGTTAGTGAGAAATGGTATTTGTATCTAATTGTATGACATGTTAATGTACATTATCTTAAGATAACTGACTGAATAAATTGATCATTCATTCATTCATTCATTCATTCATTCATTCATTCATTCATTATTGAAGTGCAGTTTTGGCTGTTGACAATGGATAGGCCATTGTATTTATTGTTTTGGGTCTTTTTTATTGTTTTTGGTGCAACATTTTCTAACAGGGAGTGAGATTCCTTTTTTATTCAATTTTTGTTTGTTATTTTTATTAATTTAGAAGTTCTGGTTCTGGACATTTCAATGTTAAATGAAGGTTTATTTGTTGCATTTTAAAGGGTGTACTTGCATTATTATGATATATTAACATTATGTTAGTGGTTATTTTGGTCTAGATAATGTTGACAATATCGTTTATCATCAACAATTTGTTGGACAAAATATCGTCCAGCAAAATGTGTTACTTTCCCAGGCCTAGTCAAAAGTATAAAACTTATTTATACATAAACGGTCCCTCCTGAGATCTGGCCGTTTGTTCATTTGCTGTGTTAGAGGACATGCTGAACTAATGTTTTACACATGATCATCACCCTAACATTTGAGTGTATAAAAACATATTAAATATGTTTTTCCCCTTAAAAGTGTGTAAACAGTTGTTGCATTTCAACACACAAAAAATAAATGGAAAAAATAAGATAAATCTAATGAAAAGTGTACATCTTTGACATTAAGCTTAAAAAATCTGTTGACGATGATGATACTGTTCATTTTTCAGAGCTTTTTAATGTGAAAATATACATTGCAATAGATAAGTTTACAATAAAGTTAAATGATAAAAGTTTTGAAGTTACACTTCTACTACTACTAGTAATAATAATTATGATGATAATAGTAACAATAAAAAAATAATTATTATAATAATACGAACAAAATGTGTCTGAGGAGTCAGTTATGTGGAGGAGATGAGTTTGTACAAGTTAGTTTTGAGTATGTGTGTGAAGGAGGAGGTGAGTCTGAGCTTAATGCAGGGGTGTCACATGTTCCAACTTACGTTTTGACTTTGAAAGAAGTCTCTTATATCCACTTTTCGTTTTCTTGACATGCTGCCTCCTGGCTGTGCCTAACTACCAAAGACTCACAAATGAACACTTATTCAAATGTTATGTAATGGAAGCTGAGCTGAGCTCTGATATTACACAGCGTCTAGTTGACGATGTGACTCAGTACCGGTGTTCCCTAGCGGCTCCAAACTAGCAAAACAACGTGAGCACGTTCTGACTGTTTCCAACTTGAGTGACAGCAGCAACAGCCAATAATACGTTAGCAAGTATCAGCAGAGCCAATAGATTAGCTTTTGGGCGGGTCTAATAGGAAACCGGTTTCCGTTTCGGTCCTAGTGCTCAACCAAATCCATTTAATGGAGCGTAACATTGTTTTTGGACGGAAAAAAGTGCAGGGGACCAAAACTGCCTTTTGAAAAAGTGGGGGGGACATGTCCCACCCGTCCCCCCCCAAAATTACGTCCCAGATGCAAGCACACCACGCACGTATCTCTCTGACTGATAATGAAGTTAGTTTAACACAGATCTGCAAACCCAAAGATATTTTTAATATATTTACCATCCAAACTCGGCTTCAGCCATCGGATCTATGCTACCATCTCCCAGCAGCAACACACAGACGAGTTTCACTTAGTGGCAGATGCTCTAAATGTCAGACCTGGAGGCTAAAAAAAGCCACAGCGGGCGTTCAGTCTGCCGTCCATCTTCTGTTTTAAATGTCAGAGTGGTTGTTTTAAATGTGGACACGTGATCTGATCACAAACCGATCCACCAGACTTTTAAATAAAACACATTACCTTCTGAATTCTCTGCTTTTATAAGTTTGTCAGAGCATTTATGTGTAACCTGTCTACAAGATACAGTTTAACATTATCTGCAAAGAGAATGATTAATTTCATGAGATCAGTGTTTGTGGTATTTAATGTTCTCTCAGAAACTAAACAAGAGGTTAATAGTATGAATTTCTTATTCGAAATTATTAGAATTACTGCTTGGTGCTTATTTTTTTCTCTTTTCATTAATTATTTGATTTTTAGTTTGACTTGCTCCATTTTATTGCAGCTTTACAAATATATATAACTGAGGATTAGACAATGACACCTTTAGGTAAAGCTGTAAAATTACTGGCACAGAGACATTTAGAAAGAAAAGTGTTTAAATTAATATTAAAATATATATTTGAGAAATGAAATGTTTAATTAACTTCACTAATGTTAACTGGTTCCACTAAACCTATTGCTAATATACAATGTTGTACATGATGTTAAAAGTAAAAAGGGATATTACTCATTACATGTAAGCAGCTGGCCCCAGCCAGCACACATAGGTGGGCCCCATATGGAAAATATATGGACAAGCCATATGGGTTCCAATAGGGCTTATCCACGGTTTCCACGGTGGCCCTATGGAGGTTTACCCAGAAAGATTTTTGCTCACATATATCTTAACGGGCCATAAATGGGTTTTCAGAGGGTTTGACTAAAACAATGGCCCATATTAATCTTTGAGGGCAAACCCTTGTGGGTCCACACATCCTACCCATTTCCATATGGGGACCACCGATGTGTTGACATAATTCGGTTGAGTAAATTCAGAGGAGCCCTTCACATCGAAACATCAGAGAAAGCGTAAGAGTGACATCCTAAAAAGAAACCATAGTTGTTCTGCTAAAGCACACAAATATATTTGAAAATAATCCAAAACATTAAAAGTATTGCTCTTTAAATGGCACAATGATAGGCCCATCTCCACTATCAGTAATTCTTGGTAACATTACTCAACGGTATGCACGTGTCTCTTCTTCAACGGGTCGTTTCAGAAAACAAACGAGTAGCTGAAATAGCGCGCGTACTGGGAACTGGCCCATTACAGCCGCTGGGTGGTAACCTCATGCTGATTGAGTTTACCACCATTTGTAAAACGGGAAGAGATTTGGGTGAAGCGGATTGGAAGGAAAAGAAAATATGCAGTGTTGATGCTGCTTTAAAATAGCCATTTCAAAATTCCCAAACCAACAAAAGGATGTGGCAGATATCCTGCCAACGACGCCGTCGTTTTAGGAATGTTGTGGTCTTAGAGAACACTGTAAAAAATGTGGTAGCTTCTGGTCACTAAACGCCACGTCTCACATCACAAAGCTGCTCTCCCAGTCTGCCGAATGACAGCATATTTTACATTAATAAGCTTTTATTGTCAACAATGTCCGTGAATGCATTTTGGTGTTGATCAGCGACGTCATTTACAGCCAAAGCGATGGCTATGTGCTGATATCTTAGATCTCCTTAGACCTCCCAGAAAATTCCCGGACGTCCTTGAGTGGAAGCACAGCTATTAAGGCCAATGAAATAATCCCAACATTTTCTGTGAACCAAACTCAAAACTGACTTTTTTTCATTTGTATTCTTAATTTAGGTTTAGTTTTGAAATTGACATTCCTGATTAGTTCTCAGAAGAATTGTGAGCTATATGTTACAGTGACCTTCTCATGGCCTGGATAAGCTTCTTTTAGTTAACAAACGCTAAAAGTGCCGGCTCTAGTTGCCAGCTTTCCTGCATGTGTGAAGATTAACGTTCTCTCCTCGCAGGACGAGCCCCAGAAGAAGGACAACCAAGAAAAGTCCCCTCAACTCAAAGAAGAGGGATCCATGAACATCCTCAACTCCCACTCCCCAAAGCAAGAGAACAACTGCCCTGCCTCTGCCAACCATGGCCACACCCCCAACAATGCAGGGGAGAACGCAGAGGTAAACATGCTCCAGAACAACCTGGTATAAAAAATACCTACATGATCCAAATGTGCAGCTGGAGAATCAGACCAAAATTGTCGAAGGTGCACAGAAAGTCCCTGAAGGCTAACATCGTTTACACCGTGCCAAGTGCTTTGTAAGATTTTTAAACAGCCTGATAAGACCCAGTTTCTAAAATGAGCACACCACAGATTTTAAAGGTCCATCTTGAGAAGCACAATAGTTTGTTTACTAGGCTGCCATGCTTTTACTGATCACATAGTGGCAACGCTGCCTGCTTTCCTCCTCTATCTGCCTTTTCACGCTGGACTAAACTCTCTGGCTTGGACCAACTACTGACTGATTGTCCTCTTTATGCTCTGCCTTGGTCTTTGGCCAATGAACCCCTTTAGTGTCTTTCTCCCCTCTTTCTCTCTTCCTATCCACCCCACCCTCCTTACTGTGTCCCTGCCCGCATGCATTGGTGTTATCAGCAAAAAGTGTCTGAAAATGTAAAAAAAAATAATAATAATAATGAAAGATTATTATGTGCAAATAAAGTGAATCTGTATTTGAAAAGTATTACTGTTTGACATTGCTAAAAAAAAGAAAACTGGATATGTCTAGACTACATGAGATTAAAGTAATAGCTTGGAGTTGATATTTGAATCTATATGCATATATTACACATGCTGTGTCTTGGTTTTCAATGTGTTTTACAATACTTTCCTGTACTTGGTATTCTTTTTTACTTTTTTGGGTATTCTTGGAGGATTACAGTGGACAGTTGTTGGAATAAATCTTTTTTCATTTTACCCGGCTCATCCCTGTGTGTTGCTATGAGCTCAGCTCTCCCTCTCTTTCTCTGGCTCTTTTTGTCTCTTGTACGTCTGCGCATAATAAAGCCTACTATTGCCCAACTGCTCTTTGCTAAAGTAACCAAATGCATGGCCAACCCCGCTTTTGTGTCACAGAAGGCTGCCACTCACAGATTACACAGCATAAACACAAATGCACATTCAGCACCATGGACAGCTCCACACTATCACGAATGCCCGGTGTCTTCACATTTTTAACCTTAGTTCAAACTTATGGACGTGTTTAATTCTCATTTCTGTTACAGTATGCTGTTTCACATAATCTGATATTGAGATATTTATTCTCTAAATCTTTGTTTCTTCTTTCTTTGATTTTGGTTAAACGGAGAAAGTGTGTTTTGTTTGTTTAACTGTAGCACAAATGTGTCATAAATGCTATGTAGATGGATGCTATTCTAATTCATGCAAGGAGTAAAATAATGAATAATGCTACAAAAGTGGACAGTTAACAAATTGGTGCTCTTAATTAAAATAATCAAAAACCTTACAATTCAGTCAAAAGTAATGATAATAAACAGATGTTTAGATTTTTACAAACCTCTATTTCTTGATTTTGCAGATTTCAAAATAGAATTTAACTAAATAAACAAAAATAAGATTGAACCACAAATAAGCGTGCAAATTTCTTCACACTAAAGTGTTTCATATGAGCAACAAGGTCTTGTTAAATGAGCCCATACTGTTATTAAATGATGATTTGCAAAAGTAATTGGCCCTCGTCCTAAATCATGACTTAAGTGTACCACTAGTACCACTAGCCACACCCAGATTTGATCATTTCCAGACCTGCTGAATTACAAAATGTGCCTTACAACATAAATGATGCTAAAAATGTATCTCAAACAGCAACACATCCTACAGCAGAGACGTCCAAACTTTTCAAGATGATAGTCAAAATAGTTCAAGGAACTTAGGAATTTATACGAATTTTACAGTGAAATAATCACAAAACAGTCTAATGTCCCAATTATGTTGGAAGGAAAGTTACATTGAAACAGATTTGATTGTCAACCAACTGAGGTGGTCGTCAGTTTTACTCCTTTCAAAATACAAAGAGTGACATAACATCAGTAAGCATGAGGTTGCAGAGTTTGCACCAAGCTAACGCTGCAGTGCCGGCAAAAGGCTTCAGTGTTGTTTAAAAACTGAAGCCAATAAATAGGAATGACCCAAAGGTTATTTTTTCTTGTACCCCTAAGAAGCCACAACATATTTTGCTTTTATTGCGTTATGAAGGCTAAAGGCTAACGTTGAGCTAAAGATGCTAACAGTGAATTAGAAGCAAATAGATGGCTCCAAGAACACCTGAAGCTACTTTTCTATTATGAACAACTTGATATTACAGTGAAACGTATGTGAAGTGAATCATTTGTAAGTCGTGGTGTTTTACTTCCTTTATTGAGTTGTTCAGAACTATAACAGCAAGCTAACAGCAAGACAGCAATCAAGCACACTTCTATCTGTGCTGGAGGCATATTACCGTAGTAAGTGTAATAGGTGCTCCCTTCTAATCCGTTCATATTGCACCTTTAAGTGAGATAAAGAAAATCTGACAGAAAGCAAAATTTTTTTCACCGAGCAGAAACTTTCCAGCCTGGCAAGTCAAACTAAATTATTATATTGTTTAGTCTGGCAACACTCCATTGATGGTTCTCGGCCGTGTGGCGGGTTCTACCTTTGTCTTTGAAACAATCTCTACGTGCTACTGGACAATGAACAACGTGATGTACTGCAACAGATGCTGGTAAACAAGGCAGTCTGCTGCTGAAGAAGTACAAAATACACCTTTTTTCAAAAAAAGAACTTAAATACATCTATCTGCTCCCCATTCTGATAAAGCCCTAGTCCAAATAGTCCAAAATTGATGTAAAACACGTTTCAAACAAGCTGTCGCCATCTTGTTCCACTCTGTTGCATCGCCCCGCCCACCAGCTGAATAGAAGGCCCTGATTAGCCCCCAAAATGTATAGAGTGCTGTGATTGGCCCACAAAGCGGATAGGGCTCAATAAGTCTCCTCCCTTTTCGGTCGGCTCATGGGTCCGCGGAAGAGTCAACGGGGCTAAAAACGTTATTTTCTAATCCGCTTTGCCTGACGCCCTGGATCACCATTTGTGGTGGTTCTTTCCTCCGGTGGGAAGTTCGCTGAACTTGCAGCCTTTTTCTTCAGTTTTCTCCGTGTCTGGTTCGATGACGTCACTTTCATGAAGCGCATTTGTAGTCCTGGACTTATTTTCACACAAAACCTAAAATGGCGTTTTCCGCTGTTCGAAAATAAGCGCGTTCTTGGTACCAAAATGTGTCTTTAAAATTCAAGGACAGCATATGTGGAACCCATGGATCATAACAAGTGGAAGTATGAAATTGCGTTTTTAGCCCCATTGACTTGCATTCAATTTTTTCGTTCTTCCGGGGACCCATGATGCGGAAGTAGATGGGCGTGAATTAGGCTCCCTATTGGTTTGTAACCCCTATAGAGAGCTGTGATTGGCCTGCCAGAATGCTGCTAGGGGCCACATAGGTTCCAGTGGAGCGTTCCTAGACCAGACTTTGTTAAGCAAGATTTGGTCTAGAAACGTTCTGTTTCAGCATCATGATTAGTCCTCACCTGTGTGTATCTGTGTTTGGTTTTATCCCGCTGCCTCTGAGATGTGGCTCTCCTACGCTATTGCATCTTTCTCTTCTCACCATATTTAGGGTGGAGTCACTATTGGCCTGGAGGTGCTTCTGCCCAAAGAGGCCAAACTTCACTCGGACGCCAGCCCTCCACTTCAGTATGACGTCTTCCTCTACAAGGTTGCCAACAACGAAGACTCCACCTCTCACAGTCAAGCCCCTCACCCTCACCCCACCACCTCTCATCCTAAATCTCCCAAATCCCCCAAACACCCCACAGAGAATCCCCGCTTTAATCATGAATCTGTGTCAGGGAGTCACCCATCACCCAGCTGTTATTACAAACGGACCCCCGGCTGCTCCTCCACTCCTCATCAGCTGTGCAAAGGTCAAGACCCTGGCTCAGAGTTGTCTGGGAGTTGGAGAGACCACCAGGGTGGACACATTTACCCATCTCCTTCATCGCCTCATCTCACCCAGCCGCCTCCATCACCATCCACAGTTAAATCAGTCAGCACCCGATCCCTGCCTCACTGATGAAGTGCTCAGGCCTTCCCATCATCTGCTCATTCAAACCTCACCCCATCAACATTCCCAAAAAAATGAGAATTAACACAGGCATGGATGCATTAAAATGTAAACAGATCACTCTACAGCCACATATTTCCTCTCACCTGTAAATAACAACCTCCAAAAAGCTCAGGTTCAGAGTGAACTGCTACAACTCGGTGGTGCCAATTCCAGCTGCAGCTGATGACATTAATCATACAGTTTTATCAGTGTTTATAAACGTTTTACTGTCAAATCTGCACAACTTCTTTCATGAAGCTTTTCTCCACATTGTTCTAACCTTTGATGGATGGCTGAATCAGAAAGTAACCAAGTGCTGAATGTGAGGAGGAGCAGGATTGTTATATGAAGGAATCTGCTTCCTCCTTGTGGAGGACGGAGGTATTGCAACAAAATGTGTAGTGACGCGTTGGTTTAAAGTCCAAGCTGTAAAATCGTCTCATGAATCTGTAGAGAAGAGTGAATGAAATTTTTTTTTTTTTGTTGTTGTTAAAGCATTTTCAAATAAAACCCTTTGTTGTCAAACTGATTTTTATTTAGATTCTTCTTTGTCTGTTTTTCTTTCTGGACCAGATTTAAAGAAACACGTAGGAATGAAGAATGAGGAAAAGTACAATTTTGTGAATCTGAATATTGGAATGATGGGAAATCTCCTGAATCGTCTTCGGCTTTGTGTTTGTTTTTGCAGAGTAGACTGGGTTTTTGAAGGTTACACATCTTTTACATTTTTATTATAGCCAGTTAACCACTTACCAGAAAGAGATCCACCATAACTGTTGGAGTTGTGCTCTAATGGGTGCAACTACGGCTCATACTCACCTTGTAGTGATGATCTAAACTTCATACGACTAACATTGCTTCTTTTTTAGTAAGAGAAACGTGATTGTAAAGATGTTTTTCATACCTGCAGCAGGTAACCTGCTGACAGTTTCGACTTACTAAAAGTAAAGAAGTAAAATTAGTTTATAACAAAGACAAAATGAACTCATTTAATAAATAAATCATACAATTGTATATATCTTTTTTAGTAAATGGAACACTGAGTTAATGCGAGAACAACAGATGACAACCTTACACACTTAATAGTTTAAGTGTTATTTTTCTAATAGATGAGGATGTTTATTCTGGCCCACTTGTTAAATTAAAGATTTCACATTTAAAAGAACTGCTAAATCTCTAAGGAATTATCACTTTCAACTAGAGATGCACCGATTCTGATACTAGTAACGGTAAAAGTTACCGATACCAGGGACTGATACCAGTGTAGTTGCCTGAAAGTGGCTTCACTGTAACTTGTCATTTCTGTTCACCTCTTATTTTAGTTTTGTGATCATTTCTACTCATAGATTTTATTTTTATTTACCTCACAGTCTTTTCCTGTTGAAAGCAGAGAATAAACCTGTATTCCAATTCATTGCATTTTTTGTGTGGTGCAAGTATCGGTAATCGGTATCTGCGAGTACTCAGATCCGAGTATCGATATCGTATCGGTTTGGAGTATCAAAAGCGCTATCGGTGCATCCCTAAACTAAACATCTTACAGGGTCTGTACATTATGCTTAATTTCATTTAAACATGAAAGTGTTTAACCGCTGACAACTGAAAGCAAATATATTTTAACCTAAATTCATAATAGTACATTTATCAGACTTCATCGTATTTGAGAAAAATACATTTACTGTTATTTTTTTTAACCGTGTCCTGTCTGGCTGTGAAGCAAACAGAATTGATGTCTGAATGCTGGTGACAAGCCTTACAGATTTACTCTCAGGTGGAGCATCAAAGCATCTGCTTTAATGTCACGCCTGATACTTAAAACTTTATTGTTACTGTTGTTGTTTTTGAATGCTTTGTAATTCCGACCAGACACGGAGACAGAGGTGAAAGAGAAAGGAAAAGAAAAGGTGGGGAGGGGGGGGGGGGGGGGTCCGTCCACAAAAATAAATAAACAATAATGAACAAGAGTCTGGTTCTAGACCTGCAGAAAGAGAGCAGAAAAAAAGGGACACACAACAATACATCAGGAGCAAGCTATCACTGTGTCAACTTGATGAGGAAATATATAATCAACATTGTTTAACTGAAGAATCACGATAATAAATCACAGTGCATTAAGTGCCCACCATAGTCTTAAGACATGTGTTGAACGTGCCCAAGCCCATACTTTTGAGAGCACCATGTGAGCACCTGTGTGTGTACACGCGCTTGTTTATGTAAGGTTTCTCTATAGGAGCGTCCAACAGAGTGTGAGGGGCCACAGATCCGCCCCCCAAAGATGCGCAGGAGACGGGGGGAGCTAACAAGTCCCAGAGATCCAGGCGCTGCCCCAGAACACAGGAACCCCAAGGTGACTGCAACCAGAAAGGCCCCCGCCCCCCTCGAGAGGCACAGAGGATCGCCCCGGGGGGCCACAACCAGCAGCCGGCAGAGTCCCTGGAGATATCAGCGGCAAGCCCACAGGCCCGCCCGCAGCCTCCCACACCCTAGCCGGCCGAGCCCGGGACCCAGGGGCGACCACCCCCGCCGGGGACCCAGCAGAGCCCAGGGACCCAGACCCCACCAGGCCGCCACCGGGATTGATCAAGCAGAAAAATACATTTACACCACATGAAGTAGGGTTGTGCCGTTAAGCGATACATCGCTATGTGACACATGCTTACCTGGTTCCTGGAAGGTTTTGTTTGTTTTTTGGACTCAAAGAACCACAAATGACTAAAGGCAAAAGCTGGGATGATTCAGGTTTGTGCATCTTATTTAAAACATGTCAGTAAAGTTGTGTCGGAAAGAAAATGAATAGAAAAATAATTTTAAAGGTGGTTTCATGGGAATAATCCACACAAACTGGGATAATTAGAAAAGTGAAGTGAATGAATAACAGAGAAGCTGATGCTCTCTAGCATTTTGAAAAGTGAAAAGTAGTAAAATCGAAATATAGTTAGTACATGAAATACATTCTTAAAAATGAATGCATTGCTTAATTTAGTATATGGAATTTATTAATTTAACAATCTTAGCTGTTCTTGAGTTTTTTCATTTAAAAAGCTACAGAAATAAGGAGATGTGGATTCGGATCCACGAACAGAGCCGATGGAGTCTACACGTTAGATCACACAAGCATGGGACTGTGTCATCGACGAGGAGGGCGCGGGCAGCAGCGACATCGTCCTCTGCTTCCTGCAGGTAAACGAAGAAGGAAGTGACACCACCAACATCGGCACAGCACTGAGGGTGGCTATAGTAGTTAGCCAAAACTTTAGCAAAACAAGGTAAAGAACAACTCATTCCTGAATCCAATTTCAAGTCCGCGTCTGCCATCCAACCGTCCGTCCCGCTCACCCTCCTGGAAACCTGCATCCATCTCTCGAGTTCTCATTCCTGCACTCACCTCCTTGGACCACCACCTCAGGCCTCAACCTACCCTCTCGAGCTTCTGCCTCCCAATAGAGCAGTTAAGCCCAGCCAGATGCTGAACCTTTCCTTCAACCCTACTAGCCGCTAACTGTCCTGTTTTCCAGAACCGCTCGAGGCAGAGTCCCTGCCTACCTCGCCCCACGTTGGTGGCGCTTCTTAAGTTTACATTAATAAAACTTTTTGTTTTACTTTATTACCGTGTCGCGACTGATTCTTCATGCCGTGGGTCAAAAGCATTAACCCCAACCTGACAGGACCTTTGCAGTTTCATTGTGCCAGCAGCACTTTCTGTTGTTGAACAACAGCAGTAGAGGTTTCTGATTCTAACTATTTTGCCTAA